CTGCAAGGGAGTCTAAACCTAACAAGATGTCTCGAGGAAGTTTATTATAAGGATCAAAAGAGTTTTAAGTATTTAGGCAAAACCTTTTAAAACTGGATGGGGGTTTAGTTGCATCTAAGTTAAGGGAAAGATCTTTTCACAAAATGTACTTTAATTCTCCACAGAATATTTAAAATTAATGCAAAGGGAGTGTTTCTCCGGGGAAACAAATGTGCAAAATCACTATTGCAAGAGAGAAATTAATTTTGTAAACCATTATTCTCTAACAGTTGTCTATTTTAACATAATTGACATGATACACAAAATATGTAATATCAAACAATGAAATATTTAAATGTATTTCAGAAGAGAAATAAATTGCTTATGGTTTCACGAATGTAAATTTCATTCAGTATGTATCATTTTTACACTTTAGCTGGATTTATACAGGAAAAAATTATAATTTGGCTAAAATCAGAAACAAGAGTGATGGTGTAGACAATACAATACTTCAATTTGCTATGGAAAATTCTAAGCCTCCTTTACAGTTTAGGAAAATTAAATAGGAAATATTTTTAAGTACCAGGAATACACTAAGTGAGGTGATATATTTTGTTTTAAAAGCAGTAATTACATTATATTTTATATTTATTTTTGATAACGGAGTACTTAGGTGTCTTACTATTTTGTACGAACAAGCGAGTAGTAGGTCAAATGTTAGAACACTACATAAATATTTTCTTAGAAGTGTACTCTCACCCAGAGAGAATAGAGCTGAAAACTCTGGTGGGTTGTTTTTTCTTAAGGTAAAAGTGAAGTGTATTTTTCCTACAATATTTGAGACACTCTACATTTGAGACACTGCTTCACTTTCAAACACCTTCACATTAATGCTTGTCTTCATGTTAATAAATAAAAAAATATTTGCATGAATTGTTATTTGAAAAGAATTTGTGGTCTTTATTGAGACTACAGCAGTAGTTCTCTGAATGAAAGCTCTAAGCATACGCTTTATTACAACTATTATTTTCTATTACTTTCCAGTCTATCTACCAAAAACATGTTGATTAATTCAAAACTAATAATCATTTCAAGATCAATTAGTCTCATGCCTTTACTCGTGTGGGGTTTTTTATGTAATAACCAAGCTCTCCAAACACATAGGAGGAAAAATTGTCAATTTGTATTTCAACAACTGCTAAATAAAGCTGGTAATCAGGAATAGAAGATACAGATTTAATGTCTTTGCCTAGGACAATGTGAAGTATATACTTTCCATCCTCACCTGCTCTCATCAGGAGACTGCTCTAAGTACATCTTTCATAGAGTATTCTGGGAAGGACATTCTACCACTTTGTCAAGAAAATTTAACTAGAGTCTTAACAATTGTCTTAACAATTCAGAGTAGAGTACATGCTGGAATCCAGGATACCCATGTCAAAGCAGCCTAGAGAATTATTCTAGTTTTCCGCTCAGTGATTACTAAATATTCAATTAAAAGTAACCAACAGCAAAATAAGAGATTCAAACATTCTAACTACAGTATCCTTGAACATTAGAAAACTCTTACGTCTTCAGACAATTTAGAATATTTAACCCTGAACTTCCATATGCTGGATAAATAATCCCGTAACAACATTGCTATTTCTTTCACCAATGAATGTCTCAAAACCTAACTTTTCACTTAGATGAAAAGGAATATTTCACTAGATTCCATTTATTTTACATTTTTTGTTTTCTTGTGGAAAAACGGGGAACATCATTTCCTCAAACTAATAAATTTCTCTCAGTTTCACTTCTGAAATGAAAAAACCCCTTCATTCAATTCAAGCTAGCAAACATCAGACTCAGCCTTTGACATCAGACAACAAAAGCCCTGAAGTGCATCTATGCAAATTTTTCCCACTACTTAAACAAAAATGGCCTATCAAGCGTTTCTTCAAGAAAGGACTTGGCATAACTTAGGTATTCTAATGAGGGACTGGAAGATTACGGAAAGTTAACGCTTCATGAAGAATTCCAAGTCTGGTCTTGTGGATAGCCCCAGACTGTCTGCTTGATGTACATGCTAGCTCATTGTTCTACTTACAACACAGACTTGTTACACAGCAGATGTGCAGAATAAGAGAAGTTTATGGGTTTTTTTAAATCAAGAAGTGTAATAGTCACGTAAAGCAAAGGAATGTCTAAGAAAAAAATTTTTAATACTACTTACTATCCAGATATGATATGTTTCTCGTAATTTTACAAATTATATGTTATTTGTTTTACAGAATGAAAGATGGAGAACCTGGGTTTACCTTAATAAATATATTTCTATGTAGACTGTACGAACCAAGTTATTTGGAACTAAATCTCAAGCTGTAGTCTAAGGGGACATAAAGTATTAAGACTGTAAATCTACTTAAGAAATTGTTGTTAATTAAGCTTTCCAAATGTATTTTTCCCTGACATGTGAGGATACTTTTCAATAACTACAGTCTAATTTAGGGAATATAAATGACAACCTGAAAAAAGAATATGATTTCAATCTGCTGCTCCACATGAGCAATTATTAAATTAGCATTGTAATTTTTTATGATTTTTTTTAAACAGATAATATGAGACCTTCCATATGTAAAGTAAACTTATTATGTCATTTAAATATAGCCGAAGTTTTTTATAGATAAAAAAAAATCATTGTTTGAAGCTTATGACTGAATACAAAATGACGGAATCATAGAATGTTCAGGGTTGGAAGGGACCTCTGTGGGTCATCTAGTCCAACACCCCCTGCTGAAGCAGGGTCACCTACAGCAGGCTGCACAGGACCACGTCCAGGCGGGTCTTGAATATCTCCAGAGAAGGAGACTCCACAACCTCCCTGGGCAGCCTGTTCCAGTGCTCCGTCACCCTCAGAGGGAAGAAGTTCTTCCTCATGTTCAAGCGGAAGGAACTTCCTATGCTTCAGTTTGTGCCCATTTCCCCTTGTCCTGTCGGTGGGCACCACTGGAAAGAGTTTGGCCCCATCCTCCTGAAACATAACAGCAAGTTATGTATTGGCCAGAAAGCCAACTGTATCCTGGGCTGCATTAAAAGCAGCGTGGCCAGCAAGTCGAGGGAGGTGATTCTGCCCCTCTACTCTATTCTGGCAAGACCCCACCTGGAGTCCTGCATCCAGCTCTGCAGCCCTCAGCATAGGAAAGGCATGAACCTATTGGAGTTGCCTGTGGAGTTGGCTACAAAAATGACCAGGGGGATGGAACACTTCTCCTATGAGGAAAGGCTGAGAGAGTTGGGCTTCTTCAGGCTGGAGAAGAGAAGGCTCCGGGGTGACCTTAGAGCAGCTTTCCAATACCTGAAGAGGACCTACAAGAAAGCTGGAGAAGGACTTTTTAGAAGGGGATGTAGTGATAGGACAAGGGGTAATGGCTTTAAACTGAAAGAGGGTAGGTTTAGGTTAGGTATAAGAAAGAAATTCTTTACTGTGAGGGTGTTGAGGCACTGGCACAGGTTGCCCAGAGTATCTGTGGATGGCCCCTCCCTGGAAGTGTTCAAGGCCAGGTTGGATGGGGCTTAGAGCAACTTGCTCTAGGGGTTGATGGCCCTGCTCACTGCAGGTGGATTTGAACTAGATGATTTTTAAGGTCCCTTCCAACCCAAACCATGCTATGATTCTGTGATAAAAGACATTCAGTAATAATCAAATGCACATTTAGCTATTCAAGTGATTCATATTGTCTGTATGTCATTGGTCTTACTTTATTATTCATTATAAATTATTGTCTAAAAATTATTTTAACTGACAGCTAGTTCAAAAGATTTCAGTTTAACAGCTTGAAAAATTCAATGGCAATTAAGTAATGTTCTAATATAGGTAATTAAATACATAGGTGGCAGTATGAATGAACTCAAATTATGAAATATTATTTGCTAAAGCTGAGATTTAGTGTACAGGCTTCTAGTGTGGCTAGCCAACTACCTGCTGTATCACATGTTGTTCAAATGTCTGTTGTACAGAACCTTTATAATGCTTTATGAAACAGTTAACAGCTTACTGTTTTACTGGTGAGCATCACTCTTATTTATGGTTCTGTACATGTCCTATTTTTTGTGAACCAACAGTATATTTAAACCAATATAGCAAACACAAGGTTTTATCCTATTCACATATTTCTTGACTAGTGTGATGCTATGTTACCATAAAACTACCAGGCCAGAAAACCACAAAATGTGTCAGTTGTTTTTTTTACTTAATTGAACCCAAACTTGAAAGGGGTTGTTTACTATTTTATTTCTTCTGCTTTTTTACACAAAGAATCTACACTGAGATTCATAATTGCGGAAGCCAGTCTAGTAAAAATATTGTTACTACTGCTAAGTCAACAAGCAAATAAGCAAGCAAACAAAGAAACAAACATAAATCCTCTCTAAAGGCACTATATTTGGAATAATACTAAAGCCAAGAAGTGCTGTAGATAGCTCAGGGTGTCATATCTCACTGATCTGAATGGAAATTTCTAAACAAGTGAAACACCAGCCGTAACTCCAGGACATTATTTAGTGAGACCACACACATGGTTCTCTGTACAGAGACACCTCCAGAGAGAATCTGTGACCAACAGGTGTGACCAATGCTGCTTCCCCAGCTCTGTGCTGAAAGGACTCCATGCCATTCACTTTCTGACATTAGGAAACTCTCTGAAGGCTCCACCAATCTTACCAGTACCACAGTCCATTCCATTCTGTTTCTAAATATATACATTTTTAATACAATAATGTTTAGAACGCTTACAGACAACGAGTTGAATGAGTTTACAGTGCCTTTCATCTCGGTGTTACATCTTTGGAATATATTTGGAAATTGTTTTACAGCTTCAGTAAGAATATCAACATTTATTCCATACTAACAACCATTGTCATTTTGGGGTTTTTCTGTTTTCAGTAAGACTATCTATTGACAAAAGGAAAAATAACAGAAGTTATCTTTCTACATTTCACAATACTTATTTATCACATTAAAATTGCCATAGTTGACTTACCATATTGTAGGTGGTTCAGAACCTTCTACTTCCAAATAATCATATTTTTCTTCCATTTGGAAATCTGTAAATATGAGTGAGATAGTATCACCAGGCTCAGCCACAATTGTCCATGTGCAATCCGCATTATTATGATATTCATTAGGAAAGTTGGGGCTAGAGATGATACCACTGGATCCTCTCATAGTTCCTCCACATGCATCCTCAGCTGTTAAAAAAAATAATAAATGGAATTATAATCACTCCTTAGAACTCTATATCTTCTTGTTGAGGATAGAAGTTTCTTAATTTTAGAGGAACAGTTGCTTAAGGTTTATTAACATGTTAGACTTGGAATACTGCTGTAAAATTACACTGTTAGCATGTGATTGCTTTAGATTTCAATTTATAAATTATTGCACTTGTGTCAGCACATATTTTTACAATCTACTATTTACTATTTTCTTTAGCGTAGTTTCATTCACTTTACAATAGTATGCAAAAATTTCATCATTTCCTCTTTTGATTTAAATGAAAATGTTTTCATAAAGCAAGTTGAGTTTAATCCCTGTCGTATGTAGTCTGACACATGATTTGCAGCAGTCACATTATACAGAGAAAAGAAGTATGAGAATCCTACCCATCTTATTCTACCTGTAGTATCGTATTTTATTTCAGTGATCATCTAGTGATGTTTAAGTTTGTTCTCCCATAATTTTTTAGAAATTTTCAAACAGTTGATCCAATTTTCAAACCCAAGCCATTCATGGGTGGTTCCCAAATGTTAGATACAAGACACTTTCACAGTTAAGATGTCTACATCAGAGTCATTTTAATGTGTATAAGTTTTCATAGATCAAGTATTTAAAAAATCACAGAATGACAGAATCATAGAATGTTCAGGGTTGGAAGGGACCTCTGTGGGTCATCTAGTCCAACACCCCCTGCTGAAGCAGGGTCACCTACAGCAGGCTGCACAGGACCTCGCCCAGGCGGGTCTTGAATATCTCCAGAGAAGGAGACTCCACAACCTCCCTGGGCAGCCTGTTCCAGTGCTCCGTCACCCTCAGCGTAAAGAATTTCTTCCTCATATTCAGACGGAACTTCCTATGCTTCAGTTTGTGCCCATTGCCCCTTGTCCTGTCATAGGAATACATTTTTTCGTGATATATGAATAACATGAAAATTATTTGACCAATTATCACAATCAATTATTTATTGATTGTGAATACACCAATAAACCTCTAAAACAGAAAAAGGCTCAGAAGAGATGGGCAAGGGTGATGTGTCCATAAAAACAGGGTATGACAGAGCACAGCTGTTGCAAAGAATCTGACATATCTCAACACAAAGAGGACAGAAGGTGGCCTTTGTTTTAGATAAACAGCTATCAACAGTTGAGTGGCTTTACAGGTGGTGGAAATGCTGCTCCCTGAGTTCATTAAGAGAGCGAATGTGTCTCTGAGTGAGCTGGACCAGCAGGGAGGGAGTGAATATTTAGCTCGACCCAAGACAGAGTATAAAACCTAGACAAAACCTAGCAAAAGAACTTCAAAGACAGCAATGGGTTAGAGCTCGTTTCAAGCCATGTATTCTTTCCAGTAATTGGGGATGCTCTGTGTTATGATGGTGAGCATATTACAGATACCTGTAATGGGAATCACACTGCTATTGTGATAAAACGGTATACTGCAATTGCTATATACTTTGTTAAGTGTAACCTACATTTGTGGTTTTATGCAATATATTTTGTATCACTCTGCTAAATTAGAAGTCCTGTGTAACACTCGCTATCTCTAAATAAGTAAATTTGATATTAAACATTACATCTTCAACATGTGGCATATCTAAAAGTATCTGGTCAGAGTATTTGACTTTGACAAAATAAGGGTCTATTTTCTAACGTACAATATTATGCTGAATAAACTAGACAAATATTGGAGATTCGTAAAATCAGTTCTAAATCAACAGAACTAATTCTATGAGAAAACTATTCTCAAATAGTGATTCACAGAATTTATTTGTTAAGGTAAGAGAACATGACTGATGTTGTATATCTTCTACCTTAATGGTACATACATGCCTAATAACTCAAAAATTATTCTTGATACTCTCATCAACACTTTTTTCTGTGAGCTAATAAAATTGATAGTGAAAGTAGTGCTGTTACCAGATGGAAATACCATATCACATTACTTATTCAGTATATTATTCAAATGTTTGGAGCACACTTGAAAAGCAATTCTTGTTTCTGCTCAGTTAGAGTGCTAACATGAATAAAAATTGCCCTAGAGTTTCAAAAAAACAGTCAATATTGCTGAAAAATTAATGACAAGGATAAAAAAAAATTAAGGAGTATAGCATCGCAGAACAAAAGTTTTAAAGAATTCTGACACACACAATGACTCACTTCTAATTGAAAGAAAAATTTTAATGACTGTAAGAAACCTCTTAATTAGAGTAGTTTAGGAGTTTGATATACCAGGTTTTGTCTCTTAAAAATTCTGCTAAATTATTATATGATTACACAGAAAAACTAAAGTAAAAATGTATCTTGGGCTTCATCTTACTAATTAGCCAGTGCACTTAGCATCCAATAATACAAAAAACCTTAGGAACCTCATCACATCACAGGTTCAGGTCCCTTACTGTGACAGGAATAAATAATTATAAAAAAGATAACAACAAAATTTTGTTTTCTTTCATTAAGGACAATAATAATAAGAAGAAGAATCTTTAATTGTTAGTTCACAGAAGTAAAAATTCCATAAAAACATGAAGTAACATACTGGTTCCATGATTTTGAAAGATCTACATATTGATTTTTAAATATTGGTTGACATATGTTTTATCAAGTACTGATCTGAAAATGTTCTGACAGGTAAATTTTCATAGATAAATTACTGAAGCTTATGCAAATTGGAAAGACAAATAGTAGCATGTGAAATAGCTTTTCAGCTCATGTAACAAGTTAAAACCAGAGGAGTAGGAATATCATGCAACACTAAAAACTTTGGAATATCTTTCTCTCAGACTCAAAAATAGAAGTGCTTTTGAAAAGTACTGTACTAGAGAACTCATTTTTTTGCTTTTCACAAATGAATTATAAACAAACCTATCCTAGTTCCTAGCAATATAAAAAAAAAATGTTCACTACAAATGTTGCTATATACTACCAATACTTAAAAGAACAAATAGAGTTACTGTGTTTAGAAACATGTGTGTCAGTGAACGTCTGCTATTTTGAGTCATGTCTGTTTAGACATTTTTGCCAAAATGCAATTTTGATACCATCAGCAATATCACCCAGACAAATCATCAAGTATTTTGTTCTGATTCATGTAGCAAATTAGCTACAAATAAAATTCATACTAACTACATTTAAGTGCTGTAAATATAACCAAGAGCATATCAGATATCATCTTTGCCTCTGTAATGCAAACATTAGCTCAATAAATAGTAGAACTACTGTGCTGTGTTCCTATATTCCTCCACCTGTAATAGCACATTTATTTGGTTGCAGTCTTGCAGTCAGATTCTCATAGGTAAAAGCTCACATATGGGAGAAAGCTAACAAACTTTAATCACAACGAAAATCTTTGGTGCCTTAAATTGTGAAACCACTGGAAAAAAAATGGAGCTTCAAGTAAACTGACAAACACTGAAGTCGTCAGCAGTTCAACCACAGACTTCATAGTGCACAAAAACCCTGACAAATAAAAGAAAATGCAATTATTTTTGTGCAACCTGCTTTTAACACCTGTATTTCTGTCACATTGAAACAGCGTAAATGCTTAGATGCAGCTATGAATCACTGCAATAAATAATAATAAATTAGTAAAAGAACATTTATGAAGACTAACAGTGGCCCATCTTTATCACTGTGCAACATATCCAATAATGGTATGTGAACAAGGAAGAAAGCTAATCTTTGCAGTGGTTTCTGTACAGAGCCCTGAGAATATCTCTGTTTCTCTGCCTTTCCACAACTTTCTGAATCACCTCTGTCAAACCGCTGAGATAGGAGTCCTCAAAAATACTTAAGTGCCTAACACTACAATCACTGCAATCAAAATGTAAGACCTAACCTGCAGTTAAGCACCTAAATGTACTGAAAAAATTGTGTATCCATACCTGTTCTTTTAATTTCCTAATATGTAAAAAAACATTCACAGAAGCAGCGAGAAGGCAATACTTTGGTTAAGACTTGATAGAATACAACATTACAAAATTACAAATACATAGCTAACATTGATGACTTTTTTTAAAAAAGTGTACTTTTAAATTCTTATCCCATTTTCAAATTAAATTTATTTTGTCATGTACTGGGAAAATTTACCTAACCTACAAACTTGCAAATGTGATAAGAAGGCATAAATGCAAAAACTATTCATACAGCCAAGATGTCATTTTTCCAAACATACTTCTCTGATCTTAGCCATATGCTGAAAAGGGAAGATATTTCAAAGTGATATGCAAATGGAGACTTGGCTTAGAAAAGCTTTTCAAGGTATTATGAATTCAAATGAAGATCTGTGTTTGAATTTGCATAAGGGTTCAGATGCAGAGGGAGTATCACTGATATTATGATGTGAGTGATGATTATAGGAGTACACAGGTTTTGAGGGTTTAGGGGTTTTTTTTTGCTTTAGTCGGCATAGGCTGTTTTTATTTATATACGTAAGATATATGCAGCTTTTTTCCTTTTTTTTTAAATGATGGCTAAATGCTTGTAAAAATTAATGTGAAATGTGTATAAATTTACATAATTTCTGGTAAAAATTATTTAATAAAAGCTTATATTTTATTTTCTAATCATCTTCCTGGTTTGCTGTTCACTTACTTTTTCATAACAAATTTAAAAAATATATTCCTCTAGTTAGTCTTATTTACATTTAATTTTCTGCTTATTCTGGTAGGTTTCAGTGACATTCACAATAACTTTACTTAAATATTGAACTGAAATTTTCAAGAAGATAGAAGATCAAAGACAGGCAATGTTATCAGTGATTTACAGACCATGCAAATTCATTTATTTCAATGAGATTGGATGGTAGATCAAGCTTTTACCTGGCACACAATTTATTGCATGATCTTATCTATCTAGATATTTATAGTGTTTGAACAATTAAATTTAAGTGCGTAACTCAACTTATCACAGAGTAATAGACGTTATCGATTCTTGAAAATAATGTGAGAATAAAAAGAGTGTTGTAACTTCAAGTTTAA